ATCCTGGCCTGGTCACTCAAGTGAGAACTTGAGAAAGTCACTTAATCTCTCTGGACCTATGCAGAACAGACACTGCCGAGCTCACCTCTCTGGAATGTTCCGAGAATCAGATGAGCAGACTACCTGTGTCCGTTGAGAGCCAGATTCTTGGAACATGCATATTCTCAGTAAACCTCCCATGAATATGAATCTCATTTCTTCTGCACAGGACAAATGTAATAAACAATTATAGTATGGTAAGCCAAAAGCCCCTGAAGGGTTGTCTCTTGTATTCAGTTTACAGCTAAGACCCCTAAGGCTGGAGTACTTAAGTGACTCCTCCCATCAATGACAATGACATAATTAAAACTACGTATGAGCTGCGGTACATTAGCCTACATATTCCCTTCCCAATCAAATACTCTTAAAATATAATTCTTAACATTATTCTCTGGTTAAAAGGCCTTAGTGGCCGGTGCCGTGGCTCAATAGGCTAATCCTCTGTCTGAGGTGCCGGCACTCTGGGTTCTAGTCCCGGTTGGGGCACCGGATTCTGTCCCGGTTGCAACTCTTCCAGGCCAGCTCTCTGCTGTGGCCAGGGAGGGCAGTGGAGGATGGCCCAAGTTCTTGGGCCCTGCACCCTCACAGGAGACCAGGAGAAGCACCTGGCTCCTGGCTTCGGATCAGTGCAGTGCACCGGCCACAGCAGGCCGGCCGCGGCGGCCATTGGAAGGTGAACCAATGGCAAAGGAAAACCTTTCTCTCTGTCTCTCTCTCTCTCACTGTCCACTCTGCCTGTCAAAAAAAAAAAAAGGCCTTAGTAACAGCCAATGGACTGCCAAGTTCAGCTCATCATCTTACCTTCCTAACTGTAGGTCCTCTAATACTAGTCCTGAAATCTTCTTTCTTATTTTATCTTCAGTGTCTCCCTCCATCCAGCCTGCAATCCAGCAAACTAGTTTATTTTCTGGGCTAGGTGCATGCTACCCTGTAAACCCCATGAAGGAAGTGACTGGATTACTCTTGCTTTGTCCATAGGACCTCACCGGATGCCTGGCTCATAGTGGAAGCTCAATAAATGCTTCATAATGTTCACAATGGTGAATGTCATCATTATGATGATGATAACTTCAAAGTCAAAATAGTGAACATAAACTACATAATAGTAGAAAAATAAGCAAAACCACTGGTCAATAGCCAGTGTACTGTGCATTTGCTATCTCTTATAAACCTTATGAAAATCCAATCAGGTGTATTCTGTCCTTATTCCTTCTTGCTGATGAGGATATCAAGGCTCAGATGTAGCTAACTTCTCTGGAACTGGATGATTTACTCATTCATTTGTATATTCAGGACATAGCTTTATCAATGAGACAAAACAGGGACAGAATTCTCCACCTCAGAGTTACCAGCATCTCAAGTCATGAGTGGGGTAAGGTCATCTCGGGAGTGAGAGGGGAGATAAGAGGAGAGGGGGAGTGTGAGTATGCAGAGATGGAAAGAAAGGAGGGTGGTCGTGCCTAGGGTGCTCACCAGTGCAGAGCAGGAGGTGAGGGGTTGAGGCGAGGCCACAGGCACAGAAGGAGCAGCCAGCGGGCAAGTGAAAAGCAGAGTGAGAACATGTCCCAGAGGTGCTGCTTGACCTCCAGTTCAGACGGCTGAGTGCAGAAACAGGGGAGGGCAGTGATCTTTGGATAAATGCCTCTGATAGGCTGGGCAACAACAGTACCAACAACAGACCCAGGACGTGGTGGAGAGTGCTGGAGTCCTAGACAAGAACATTTTTGGGGCTCACAGCTTCTGGGTGGCTTCTGCGCCCAGGCAGGGATGGCATTTCTTACTTCTTGTTCCTCATCTTTGTGCCCAAGTAACTGAACCTGCTTGGCCAAGTCCTTTTCATGTCTTCCTGTATCCCAATTCCCTTAAGTTTCTGCAACTCCGTTCCTAGCTCCCTCTGTCACGGAGCCCTCTCTAATCCTTCCGGTCAAGTTGAGTACGCATAACATTTACCTGGTTTCTCAATTATTCATTGGTGATGATGTTTAGATATTTGCTGAGAGGGTATGGCCTTGGGTTAATGGAAAACTTGCTTTGTTCACACAGAACAAGGCAAAATGACACATGGCAGTGTGGTGTTATTACTGCCGCTACGAAAGGCAGCACAAGAATCTCTAAACAAGAGCACCCTAAAATAGTCCTGTGGAAACACTCTCACAGAGTGCTGCTGGGACTTCTGGCTGGGTGGTTAAAGAAGATTTGACTGTCAGTTAGGCATCTGGGCTCTGGGCCCAGCTCTGCCAGCAAGTCACACGACCTTGGTGAAGCACTTCAGACTTCTGGGACATAGTTTCCTCACCTTTGAAATGAACAGATTGCATCGCATTGCTCCAAAGATCCTTCCAGTCAACTGGGCTCATTCTCAGATTAGAGATTAAGGAGTTGTATTCAGTTACCTGTGTATGTGCCCTTTATCTCTGCTTGAACTATAGAATCTCCAAGGACAGGTCTTATACTTATTTGCATCAGTCAGAGGTTCCTGGTAGTTACACTGTAGGTAATCTCATTTAATAAGGGATACATCTTCTTTGGTCTGTGAAATATGTGCTTGTCCTGGATCAGTGATTTCCCTCTAAGCTCCTGCTCCTATCTTCTCCCTGGTCATTCAAGCATTGCTTCCCTCCTAGATTCATTCATTTACTTCACGTTCCCCCTGTATATATATTCCCTAAAATGGCAAAGGTTCATGATCCAACAGTGCCACTAATTTTGTTCATCTTGAAACTGCTGGCTTGGAGTTGAAGAAATCGAGACACTTGGTCTGAAAAAAAAAAAAGCCAAAATATTGGAATAGAGTTGTCTGGGAAATTCCAACCTATGAAACTCAGGCATTTGTAGGAGAGAGTAGATGTGTCAGAATACAGATATCCACGTGTGCCAAGCTCAGACTTCGTGCTCAGGAATATTTTGCTATGATAGGGTGTCCTGCAGGGGGCTGAGAGTGAAGAGAGGGAGACAGCTAGACAATGGAGGAAGCTGTGCATGTCATGGTGGTGAGGGCCTGAACCAGGGAAGAGAAGCCATGGGGCCACAGCTGCACTGGGATGACCTCTTTATTAGAGAGAATCCTTGAGACATTGTGTCATTGTCAATTCCTGCTCTGCTCCACAGACCTGCTGTATGCCAGAGGCGTTACTGCCTGCTGGGTACATGGGTGCAGGGCTTGAGGCTGAGCCAGAGATGCACGTGTGGTAAAGTGTTAGCCTGGAGGGATAAACAGGGTACTAACAGGAACTGAGTTCCGCAGGCTAATCAACAGGTAATCTCCTTTCACCTCCATTCTTCTCCAACCGGCCCTCTGACTAGCCTCCAGGTTGCTGATGTGTATGGGCCCCACCAGTGGGTCCCCTTGTCCTTGGCTCCTGGATGTCTATCAGATGGGTTGGGGAGAGGGATAACAGGTTATTTATCCCCTTACCTCCAAGGAGGCTAATCTTGGGTTAGCTGTGGCCCTCAACTGAGTGTCACTGACCCTGCCCCTACAGTCTATTCTATAGGACTTCCTCCTTCCGGGCTCTGTTACTACTTCCTCTACTGTCTTAGGCCTGCCCCACAACATCCCTGCTCTCAAGACTCCCTACGCTTCCCCTGTACCCAATCAGGGCTTTGTAATGGGTTTCTCTACCCATTTTGAGGATCTCTCTCTTTTCTTATTGGGATCCTCACTGGCACTGAGCCCCTGAGATTAGAATTTGGAATTCTTTGGATTTCCTCCCTATCATAGTCTGCATTCCTCCAGGAGTTCATGTCTTCATTATTTTAGTTCTATCTCTTCCCATCTCTACCATCCAGCACAGTTACTATTTGTGAAAACATATTGATTTTTCTTCAGTGACAGCCCTTCCTTTGACCCCAGGTGATTGTACTGGCTCTGGCCAGAATGCCCCTTTCTCAGACCATATCACTCCCAGGGCCACCCAGGGAGGTGCTGCCTCCCCCTTGGGCATCACACCTCGCTGCTGCTCAGCCTACTAGTCAAATGCTCCCAAGGAAACTTTCCTGCCCAACACACTGACATTCACAGTCTTCACACCAATGTCCGATGCACAGGGCTTCAGAAAAGACCCTACATTTCTCTCCACCCTAATAACCAGGACTGAAACATGAAGATAAAAATAATACTGTCTTTATAGGGCTGCTGAGAGAAGAAAACAAATGCAGTGTCCAGTAAAACGTGTTATCTTCCTCATGAAATACATCAATGGCTATAAAGGATAAGCAAGTTCTCTCCACTCATGCTCCACTCTGACTGGCTTCCAGGAGGTAAACACTGAGCAGTATAATAACTGATATTGCCTGAACACTCACTCCCTGCCAGAAACTGTTCTAAGAGCTTTACACATAATCTCATTTAATCTCAACAAGAACTGCAGAGGTCTGTTGAAATCTTTACTTAGTATATATTAAGTTGATCTTCTGTATATAAAGATAATTGAAATGAATCTTAATGAAGAATGGGATGGGAGAGGGAGTGGGAGATGGGATGGTTGTGGGTGGAAGGGAGGTTATGGGGAAAAAGCCACTGTAATTCAAAAGCTGTACTTTGGAAATTTATATTTATTAAATAAAAATTGAAAAAATAAAATATAGAAAAGAACTGCAGAGGAAAGATCTATTTTCCCCCATTTTACAGGTGAGGAAGACTGAGAGCATAAAAAGAGGAAAGATTTTACCCAAGGTCAGGAGTCAGAGCTGAAATGTAGGAAGCTTGACCAAAGCTTTAATCCTATCAGTTCTATCAATGTCATTGCCAAGTCCTTTTGCTCTCCAGTCTCACTTGCTTACTTGACAACAGTGAATACTATTATATCAGATAGAAATTATTAAGTGACCAAAAATGAAATTTGTACCAAGCCATAATTCCACTCAAGTGTTGCACTCTGAAATCCAAACTTAATCAATTGTGCTTGATTGACTTCACTGATTTGGTGTCAGCTGGACACCAGAGTTTTCTAGACACTCACCTGAACTCAAGGCATGTTCCACTTCTCGCATTATCACAAAAGGAGTGGTGGTCTCAAACTCACACATCACCATGCCTGACTCAGTTTCTTGGGGTGTACCCTCCTGGGGCACTGGCTCGGCTGTGGGCTGCGGAGTGGGTACATGGCCAGAGCTGTGCTCCTCTGTAGGGGACTCTGGTGTGGTTGGAGCTCCAGTGGGCTGGGTGGTGGTCATGGTGGAGCTGTGGTCCACAGTGATAGAGGCAGGAGGAACCTCAGGAGGTGAGGTTGATGGGGATGAAGGTGATGAGGCCGGAGTATGAGGGGAGCTGGCTGTGGAAGATTCAGCAGAGGACTGTGACTCCGTGGTCAGCACACTTGTTTGAGGAGTGCCCCAGCTGGGTCCCTCAGAGACAGGCATCGAGTGGTTTCCACTGCTTGCTGTAGAGAGCTTAGGAGGTGAGGAGTCTTGGGTTGTGCCTTCCCATTTTGAGGCTGTGCTGGTGATCGCTTCTTCTCTGGGCTCAGAGGAAATGTTCTTGAGAAGTGTGGAGGTTGGGGCTGAGGCTGTAACTGGGAGGTCCGAGTTGCCATGAGGGCTGCTGGCTTGGGGGGCAGTGACCGCACTGCTGTTTTGTGGAGAGCCAGTCCAGATGGTGAGCGGTGGAGTCACTTTCAATGGAAGAGAAACCGGCAAGGGGGCCGATGTAGGAAAACTCTGAACCTTTAGTCCTGTGGAAGAGTCAGAACAAAAGAGGTTAATACACAAAAACTACATAGAATGGGGAGAGAGGGGGAAGGGCATTGCCCTGCAGCCATTTCATAGGCATTCCTCATTTTGCATAGCACCCATTCCAGTCGTTAGGTGACTTAAATGTATTTTCCTTCCAGTCATTGCTCTGCCCTTGCTTTGTGATGCTCAGTAAGAGCAGTCAGTCACTTAGTGGGTGCATCAGCTCAACACCAGCTGATACATACATGGAATGCATGAATCTCGGCCCTGGCTTGCTTAACACAGTAGCCTTCGAGTGTGAGACCCTCTGGGCTCACTGACTTCTGAAAATTTGTCTGGACTGCTGAGGGGCCAGTCTCCCAACACTCCCAGGGATGCTGAGGGCCTGTATGAGCATGGGAGGCACTGATGGGAGAGCGAGGAACCTGTGCTTGGTGATGTGTGGGTGTGGTGTAGAGGATTGGCAGGAAGGATCTGGAAGGAATAAAACAGAGGCAAGATGTCAGGACAGAGGAAGGGAGCAAAGGCCACAAATGATGCTCTCAGGGTCTCAGGATAAAATCTGCTCCCTTCATCTTTCTGAAACACAGTTTAGTCAGAAGCTGATGGAGAGTTGTGTTACAGAGTCTGTCCTGAGTTTAACATTTGGGTTTTTTTATCAAAAAATTGGTTTTATTTTATTTAAAAGGTGTTATACAAAATGTCAATACTATAAGCTGCGGCGAGTTATTTTTCTAATAAACTGGAAGGTGGACCTCCCAACTTAGGCCACATACAACTTAGGCCACATGCTGTTTTGGTGGTCTTTTAGCAGCTGTGAGCTCTCAACAGCTTCAGAATGAATATAAACCAAGAAATCTTTGAAGTATGGACAAAATAGCAACTGGGACAAATATTATTGAAATATTGGCTCTTCATATGTGACCTTTGGAGCTTACTGGCCCTACATTCTGGCAACTCCTATGACTGATGAAAGACTCTGGGGGCAAGAAAAAAATGAAAATGTGAAACTACTATTCATAGCATCATATAATAGATAGGCAGATGGAGGCAGAAGGAGCCTCAGTCTGCAGCTGAGTCAAAGAGTCTTTGGGATAAGATAAATGAAGAATTAGTGAAATACAAAGGAACCCAATCCATTCATTCATTCACTTAAGTATTTATTGAGTAGCTTCCATGCCCATGACTTTTCCCCAAGAGAGTTCACCATGTGGAAGGATGGAAAGGATATCTAGATCCCTATAATAAGAAGTGGTAAGTGCTTTGTTAAAATGATGCCACGTTGCAATACGAACCCTGAGAGAAGATTAGTAAGTTCTGCATGGGGACCACACATTGTAAAAATACACAGGTGTCATTTTCAAATGACCTTTAGAAAAGTCACAGAAGAGATGACAGTTGTGTTGATTTAGAAAAGATAAGAGTGCACAAGATGCCACTTAAGATACCTGATTGTCATTTCTAGAGGAGCTGAAAGATGTACCAAGGAGATCATTACAGTGCTGAAAATGACATGTTCCAGGAATTGGTTTTGCTGCTAGGGACATCCATTTCCTTGTTAAATTTTTATGAATGTGTGTTTATAATTCCAACCTTCCCTGCTTCCAGAGAGGACTGGGGATGATCATTCATTCCCCATGGCTACCTACTGCATACTTATTTAAAGCACTTCACAGCCTAGTTGAGGCAATTTCTACTCCTAACAAATCAACAACGCATGAAATTGTGTGACACTGTTGGTTAGCTTCACTTGAACAAAGCCCATAAAGCCTCTGGTTTTCTATTTTTTTAAGTTTGATTTATTTATTTGAAAGGCAGAGAGGGAGAAGAAAGACACAGAAACAGAGATTTATCTGCTACCTCATTGTTCAAACTGGGTTGGACCAGGTAGAAGCCAGAAGCCAAGAACTCAATCTGAGTGTCCCAAGTAGGTGACAGGGACTCAATCACCTGAGCTATCACCTGTTGCCTGCAAGGGTGCATGTTAATACGAAGCTGCAATAAGGAACAGAGCTGGGCTTAGAACCTAGGCACTCTGATATGAGAAGTGGACATCCCAATAAGTGTCTTAACCCCTATGTCAGATACTTCTCCTTCTTGATGGAATGTTCCTTCTTGCTCTGATTGCATAAGGATATTTATTCTTTGAGCATGAAGATAGCCAAGGCTAAGGTGCTATGAGTATTCTAGAGAATGCTTGTTCTCTTAGTGTGCTTGGGCTGTCATAACTGACCACATCAACATACACACAGTGCCGCAGCCTCAAAAAACCTGGTAGAACTTACTTTAACAGCTCCCATGTGACAGAGCAGCTGAACAAGTTAAAACAAAATGTAGTGTCTCCACATACTTTCCCATCTGCCTTTGATGAAAACAATGAGTGTTACTCTTCTATTCAGAAAATGGTAGAGTTAACACAATGGGAAAATTGAACTGATTCTTCTCTTAATTAGAGGTGAATAAGCATTGCTTGAAAATAGTGACACTGGCAGATAGTGACAGGCCCACATATGTGAAGTAGAGTGTGGCAAGAAAGGCAATGTCCTAGGCTTAGTTCAGATGTGAAGTCAAGGGTGTGATAGGCTTAGTTCAGATGTAAAGTCAAGGGTGTGATGATTGGCTTCATGGGAAATTGCTCCTTGCAAGTTTACAAGGAGCAGTCTTTCCTGACGTCTGGTCAGGCTCTAGCTTTCCTGTTGCAAGGATGACTGACAGATTGTTGCTTTGAAGAAAATAAGATTGTACAGAAAACTATTGGTTTCCATAGGTATTGTCCTTTATGGGGGAGATTAGTATCATGGTTTACATCTTGGATATGTGAAAGAGTTGGTGTTTGGTTTAATCTCTGGATTCTTGCTTTGCTAGAGGAGGGATCTGGGGGCTGATAGCTAAGACAAGTGGGTGAGTTCTCCCAGTGCTACAGGCATAGCTGGATAGAGGCTATGAGTCAGGAATCCAGGACAGAGAGTGCCCTGAGCTGTCACCCTCCCCAGGATTCCATGTGCAATGCCCAGGATCCCAGGAAGTCAGACTACCTACCTGAGTTGCTGGCCTGTTGTATTTCCTCCCTGGCCATGTCCTTCCTTGCCCCTGGCTTGTCAAGTAGCTGACAAAACATGGGTCAAAGCTTTGGCAAATTTGGTGAAACCTGATCAAAATGCAGTTGAGCTTTCTCTTTCTGGGCCCGCTCAGCTGGGAGTGTCGCCTGTGGTCTCCTGGCAGAGGCCCCACAGCTGCTGAAGTCTGCATGCTGAGTAATTGCTGACAGCTATGCCACACAGCTACCAATGGGACCTTTGAATGAGTGAACAGGCTGGGTCCTCCGTGCAGAGCCGTGTCCTGAGAAATTTACATGTGTCATCTTAATCATGCCATAATCTCCACAGGGCAAGTGTTCTTATCATCTCCATTTCATAGATGCTAAAATGCTCAGAAAAGTTAAGCAATTCCCCTAAGATAACACAGTTAGTACGTGGCACAGTGAAAGCTTACACTTGAAGTTGTGTGGCTTTAGGCCCAACCTTTTAACCACTCTTTGATATCAAAGCGTCAGGGTGTTTCTGAGGCCCCATTTTGGATGGCAATCAATCACCAGTCTGCTCGAATCTCCTCTAATCAGTCCCTAGTGTTGGCAACCAGAGTGATCCTCAGAGTTCCGTGTCTGTGTGCACCTCCCTGTCTCCTTTGATCCTATCACAGGCTCCCTGGTGTCCTCAGGATAAACCCCAAGCTCTTGAGCACAGCACATCACACTTTTCATGGTCTCCCCTCTCCATTCCTCATGAGCTCTGTGGTTTTGTGAGTTGGAATCCTGGAGTTCCTGCAATATTCTACCTGTCTCCTTGCCTTCACACCTGCTATTCTTCCTACCCCGACTCCCCTCTTGCCATCGCAATTTCAAGAAACCTGGAACCTCACCTCCTCTGTGGGCTCACAGCACCTGATTCAGATTCTAACTGTGATGCACATGATACTGAGCCACAGTTCCTCCCCATGCCCGTCTCCCATCAGTCTGGGAGCCTCGATGCCAAGGACTGTGGCTTGTCCTTTTTGTCTTTGGACCTGGCACAGAGAAGGCACTTGATAAATATTCATTGAATAAAAACATGGAGTTTTCTCTTCATTGGAAAACGCAAGTGCTCTGTGGCTTATATTCTGGGTCATCACAATGGAAAAGCAACCAACAAACATGAAATTTTGGATGGACCTTGAAAGAGACTTCTGCTGTTTGTGGAGACTGCAAGGATTTCTCTCCCCTTATGAGTGTTATAGATCAGAGTCACCAACTGTTGAAATGCTGATTGTCTCTCAGTTGATCCAAGCACCCAAGCATAGGTAGTCTGAACAGTCCCACACTCAATCATTGAATGGACAGAACTTCAATGAGAGGGAGAGGAGAGAGAGGGAGAGAGAGAGAGAGAGAGAGAAACTGACTTAAAATGAGGTCTTAGTGTTCTTTTAGGTTGAATGAGGTCATGGGTTTGGTCCCATACACCTATCGATGTTCTCTATGTTGTCCTTGGTTGAAGCTTCTAATCAGAGTATGGTCCAACCATATGGTATTTGAAGACTAAAGTATGTCTAGACAGCAAGTGTGTGCCCCAAATCCACAAAACTGTGCTTAAGAAGTGACTTGCTTGAAGGAGAAAAGCCATAGTTTCCTAAATATTTTGTTTATGGAAATGAGATATAATTCAGTCTAAAAGAGGAAAGAGCTTCTGTTTTCCAGCTGCTGAATCGGAACCTGCAGACCTGGTATATGACTCAATTTCTCCATCCATAAAATCAGTACTAATGATATCACCAGGCTCCCTGTGGTGCTGTGAATGATAATGAGAAAATAACATTGGTGAAGAATGTTATGCTTCCTGAGGAAATACAAATTATACCATTTTCTTTCTTTTTCTCAGAAGCGACATGACATCTTTATGAGTCGGATCCCCCCCCCCCAAACTCGTTCCTTTTAAGGTAGGGGGGACTGTTGTGGTTGGCCCCAGGA